AAGTGAGAGTGTGAGTGAGTGAGTGACAGTGCGTGAGTGAGTGAGAGAGTGAGTGTGTGTGAGTGTGAGTGAGAGAGAGTGTGAGAGTGAGTGAGAGTGTGTGAGAGTGAGTGAGAGTGTGTGAGAGTGAGTGAGAGTGTGTGAGTGTGTGTGTGTGAGTGTGAGTGTGTGAGAGTGTGAGTGTTTGTGAGTGAGTAGGTGAGAGTGTGAAAGTGAGAGTGTGAGTGAGTGAGAGTGTGAGAGTGGGAGTGTGTGAGTGAGTGGGAGTGTGAGTGAGTGAGAGTGAGTGAGTGTTTTTTTGAGTGAGTGTGAGTGTGAGTGAGAGTGTGAGAGTGTGAGAGAGTGAGAGAGTGAGAGTGTGTGAGTGTGAGTGAGAGTGAGTGAGTGTTTTTGTGAGTGAGTGTGAGATTGTGAGTGAGTGAGAGTTGTGAGTGAGTGAGAGTGAGTGTGTGAGTGAGAGAGAGAGAGTGTGTGTGTGTGAGTGAGTGAGTGTTTGTGTGTGAGTGTGAGTGTGAGTGAGTGAGAGTGTGAGTGTGAGTGAGTGAGAGTGAGTGTGAGTGAGTGTGAGAGTGTGTGAGTGAGTGAGAGTGTGTGAGTGAGTGAGTGTTTGTGTGAGATTGTGAGTGAGTGAGAGTGAGTGTGAGTGTGTGTGAGTGAGAGTGTGAGTGAGACTGAGTGAGAGTGTGAGTGAGAGCGTGAGAGTGTGAGTGAGTGTGAGTTGTGAGTGAGTGAGAGTGAGTGTGAGTGAGTGAGTGAGAGAGAGTGAGAGTGTGAGTGTGTGTGAATGAGAGAGTGTGAGTGTGAGTGAGTGAGTGAGAGTGACCATCTCTATGGCCACAAGTGATGGTGTGCTGCCAACCTGGTGCCAGGGTGAAGGATGTCTCTGTGTGGGCACAGGATATGCTGAAGGGGAAGGATGAGCAGCCAGAGATTGTGGTTCATATTGTACTAATCACATGGGTAGATAGAGAGATGGTGTGCTGCAAAGGGAGTTCAGTGAGTTAGGCAGGAAGTTGAAAAGCAGGACCTCTAGGGTTGTAATCTCAAGATTATGTCCTGTGTCACATGTCAATGAGGCTAGAAATAGGAAGAAAGTACAGATAAATACCCAACTAAAGAGCTGGTGTAAGAGGAAGGGCTTCAGGTATGTGGATCATTGGGATCTTTTCCAGGGCAGCTGAGAGCTGGAATTAGTGTATCTAACTATGATGTTGTAGCTATTACAGAGACTTGGTTAAGAGGGGGCCAAAACTGCAGTCAAATGTTCAAGGATTTAGATGTTTCAGGCGAGATAGGGATATAAAAGAGGTGAGGAGTTGCATTCCTGATATGGGAGAATATCACAGCTGTACTGAGTGAGGACACGGTGGCACAGTGGTTAGCACTGCTGCCTCACAGCGCCAGGGACCCGGGTTCGATTCCAGCCTTGGGCGACTACCTGCGAGGAGTTTGCACATTCTCCCCGTGACTGCGTGGGTTTCCTCTGGGTGCTCCGGTTTCCTCCCACAGTCCAAAGATGTGCAGGTTAGGTGGATTGTTCAGGGATGTGTGGGTTAGGTGGGTTATAGGGGGATGGGTGTGGGTGGGATGCTCTGAGGGTCAATGTGGACTTGTTGGGCTGAAGGGCCTGTTTCCACACTGTAGGGATTCTATGACACCTTGGTGGGCTCATCCAGCAGAACCATGTGCGTAATGCTCAGGAATAGGAAGGGTGCAATCACTTTGGTGGGATTGTACTACAGGCCTCCCAACAGCCAGCAGGTGACAGAGGAACAGAAATATGGATAGATTATAGGAAAATGTAAAAACAACAGGGTTGTGGTTTTAACTGCCCCGATATTGACTGAGACTCCCTAAGTGCCAGGAACTTGGATTGGGGAGAATTTGTCCATGTGTGTCCAGGACAGTTTTTGAAATGATATGTAAATAGTCCAACTAGAGAAGGGGCCATTCTCGACCCGGTGTTGGGGAATGATCCTGGCCAGGTGATTGAAGTTTCAATGGGGGAGCATTTCAGGAACAGTGACCGTAATTCTGTAAGTTTTAAGTTCGGGATAAGGATAAGAGTAGTCTGAGGGTGAAAGTATTAAATTGGGGGAAGTCTAACTACTGCAATATTAGGCAGGAACAGGGGAATGTAGATTGCGGGGAGCTATTTGAGGGCAAATCCACATCTAGCATGTGGGAATCTTTTGAAAAGCATTAAGGTAGACAGATCCCCAGGACCTGATGGGATCTATCCCAGAACGCTGAGGGAGGCAGGTGAGGGAATTGCTGGGGCCTTACACAAACTGTTTGTGTCCTGTTTAGTCACAGGAGAAGTCCCAGAGGAACTGGAGAATAGCCAACATTGTTCCTTTGTTCAAGAAGGGTAACAGGGATAATCCAGGAAATTACAGACCGGTAAACCTTACATCACTGGTAGGGAAGTTATTGGAGATGATTCTGAGGGATAGGATTTACTCACATTTGGAAAAAAATTAGTGATAGGCAGCATGGCTTTGTGCGAGGAAGCTTATGTGTCACAAACTTGATTGAGTGTTTTTGAGGAAGTGAGGGCAGGGCAGTAGATGTTGTCTACGTGGACTTTAGCAAGGCCTTTGACAAAGTCTCTCACAGTAGGCTGATACAGAAGGTGAAGTCACATGGGATTTACAGTCAGCTGGTAAGATGGATACAGAACTGGCTTAGTCATGGAATACAGAGTAGCAGTGGAAGAGTCTTTTTCTTACTGGAGATTTGTGACCAGTGATGTTCATTGGGATGAGTGCTGGGACCCCTGTTGTTTGTAATATATATAAATGATTTGGAGGAGAACGTAAGTGGCCTGATTAGTATGTTTCTGGATGACACAAGAAATGGGGGATCTCCGGATGGAGAGGAGCATCGTCGGAGGATACAGCAGGATGTAGATAGGCTGGAGACCTGGGCAGAAAAATGGCAGATAGAGTTTAATCCAGACAAGTGCGAGGTGATGCAGTTTGGAAGATCCAATGCAGGAGGGAAGTATACAGTAATGGCAGAACCCTTAGTAGCGTTAACATTCTGAGGGATCTGAGCGTACAGGTCCATAGTTCCCTGAAAGTGGCAACACATGTGGATAAGGTGGTCAAAAAGGCATTTAGCAAGCTTGTCTTCATCGGACGAAGCATAGAGTATAACAATTAGCAAGTCACGTTTGCCACACTACCAGAAGGGTGCAGAGGCTTTGGAGAAGGTACAGCATCAGTTTACCAGATTGTTGCCTGGTTTGGAGGGTATTAGCTATGAGGAGAGATTGGACAAAATTGGTTTGTTTTCACTTGAATGTCGAAGGATGAGAGGTGACCTGATAGAAGTTTACAAAATCGTGAGAGGCACAGATAGCATGCAAAGACAGAATCTTTTCCCAAGGGTAGAAATGTCAATTGCTGCGGACATAGGTTTAAGGTGAAAGGAGGTAAATTTAAAAGAGATGAGAGGCAATTTTTTTTAGAGGATGGCAAGTGCTTGGAATGTGCTGCTAGAGGTGGTACAAGCAAACACAGTAGCAACACATAACAGACAGGGAATACAGGACTATGGACTGTGTAGCAGCAAAAAGGTTTTTAGTTTAGAAAGGCATCGTGTGTTGGTGCAGCTGTGGTGGGCTGAAGGGCCTGTTCCTGTGCTGTACATTTCTTTGTTCTGCAGAGAGACTTGAGGTGGTGGAACTATTTCCTTCAAGCTTCCTCTTTCCTGTAGGGACTTAATGGAGTATTCAAAAACGGTTTCGAAAGAGTGAATCAGGAGAAACTGCATACATTGCCACAAAGGTCAATAGTCAGAGAGTCACAACTTAAAGTTAATTGCAAAAGAGCCAGGTTGGAGATGAGAGTCTGTTTTTACACAGTGAGCTGTTGTGATCTGGAACATGTGCCTGAGAGGAAGGTGGAATAGGCACTTTCAAAAATAAATTAAGTAAACATTAGAAAAGCAAAATATTGCAGGATTTCTCGGAAAATCTAGGGTGTCAGAAACAGAATAATAGCTCTTCAAAAGAGCTGGCAGAGGTATGATAGGTTGAATGGCCTCGTCTACTGTCTGATTGTTAGTGGAGCCAACGTGAAGAAAGTTGACATTCCCCTGTAAAATCAGTTCCAAATTTGTGAATATTGTGGCTATTATTTTCCAGGTTAATTGGACACTGCCTTCAAGAGGAGGATTTGGCGAAACTGTCCCAAAAGCTGAATCCTTCCAATTCTAGTTTTCTCATCACAGGGTTCAATGACGATCATGGCCAGTGGATGGGTTGGTGTGACTGGATTCTTCAGAGGTGCCAACTGTGTGACAATGAGAAGCTTACCTATTTTCTCATTAAAATCTTCAACAAATTTCTCCGAAACAGTACCTTCACATGGATGCCACAGTGGTGCAAAGAACTACAGGAACTTTTACAAGACAGAATTCGGCAATGCACGTCAGAGGAAATCCGAACTAAGCTGGAGAAGCTCAAAGAAACCATTAGTCAATACTGAGGAAAAAAATATTGTAATTCTGCAAATTAACAAAAAATGGTCTTGGTAGCTCAATTGATTAGCTCTGCTAAAGATCAGAACAGACACAATAGGCTGAATGGCTATTAAACAACACTTTCTCATTGCAAAATGCTTCACACCACTGAGTATTTTGGAGGAATGTCCCCACTATTATTTATAGGCTTATATTGGGTATTATTGGATTTGGGGATGTGGGATTTCCTTATTTTGGGTATTATTGGATTTAGGGATGTGGGATTTCCTTATATTGAATATTATTGGATTTAGGGATGTGGGATTTCCTTATGCCCCTATATACAGCCACAGATTAAGATGTGGTTGTTGAGTTTAGAGATGTCCTTGTAATGTGCATCTCTGCAAATACAAGATTGAGTGTGTAAACATGGGTTCTAATTCTGTACTTCAGCACTGGTCTATTGGATCTGTAATCTGTGGCAGATAATTTTAAATATTAATAATTAGTGAATGAGATGTGACCAATTAATCAGTTTGTCATGGCACTGATTGGATAAAGAATGTTGGCTAGGATATCAGGAGAACACCTCTTGGAATAGTTGACATGATATTATTTGCTTGCAACTGAAAAGGTCCCGGTGCAGGGGGTGTCTGGGTGTAGAGGGTGTCGCAGACAGCACAGCATTCTCTCTGTACTGTAGTGAAATACCAGCCTAGGTTGCTCAAACCATGGAAGGAGTTTTTTCAACCTACAGTGTCTTGCACAAAGGGTAGAAAGTCAATAAATGAGTTGAACTGAATCTCGCGGGCAAGTGTCTGAGTGCAGCGTGTGAAATTCAGTGCTATCTGTTAATGAAATGTTAAACTCAATAGTCTCTCCTGGTAGACATAAGACCATATCCTATGTTGCTGTTTTGAAGAAGATTGGGCACATGCTCCCTGGTGTCCCTGGCCAATGTTATCTGTCAATCAACATCAGTGCTGTTTGCAGAATCTTGCAGTGTGAAAATTGGCTGCCTCATTTCCTACATTATAACAGTGATGATGCTTCAATAAAAGTATTGAATTAGCTTTAAACCCCAATTTGGAATGTCCTGAGGTTGTGAATATGTGCTTCCTTCCTTTCTGCTGGAATACCTTTTCACGCTGTGTGTGAACTGTAGGATAGTCACCCCACCATGGAGTGGGAACTCGGAAAATAACCGTCTTTTATTGAAACATGTTCTTCTTCCCTTGTACCTTTCAACAATTGTAATTTACAGTTGTGATAGCAATTCAACAAAATATGGTTATCAACAATACCATCAGTGAATGTGTACAGAAAGACCTGTATTTTGAGCACTTTGCGCACAATCAGGACATTTCAAAATGCTTCACAATAAAGTAGTTTTTAGAAGTGTGGTCACTGTTGTAATGTAGGAGACAATTAGTGAAATGTTCTACCAACAGCAATAATAATAAATGATCAGATGATTATTTTTAACGATGTAGTTAAAGGATAAATATTGGCCCAGGTCACTGAGGAGGAAAGCACAGCACTTTCTTGGTATTGAGCCTCTGAGGGTGAGGCACTCCCTCAGCACTGACCCTCCGACAGTGCGGCACTCCCTCAGCACTG